CTGAAGATCAATTCTAACCCGGATCTTCACGGGTTATTATAATAATTTCCAGACAATTACGGTTGTGTTGTGAATATGAAACACACAGACTAGCAGAATATTACGTCCTGAATTCAAGCAAGCTTGTAGGACATGTTTGAAGCAACTTGAACCAACAATACCAGGAAACATCTGACCAGGGAATCTTCAACTTTAAAGCTGAAAAATATGTAATGTAATATTTATGATAAATTCAAGTGATGATGATTTTTATGGAGAAACATGTACAATGTGTATGCCCCCCCCCCCAACATTTATGAACAAAATAATTGACCACCCACTGCTTGTCATGTACAAAATCAATAACACCCCACCCCCACCCCAATGACCCTAGACCGAACAAAATGGGTGACCCCCCTTAAAATCATCACCACCCCTCCACCCACCCCAGCCAATAATTATGAATGGTCCCCTAGGATAACTAACTGTGGACTAACGGGTTAGTCACGCGGAGGTAAATATGAATACGTTAACCTGTTATTTAGTTGCATGTTATAAGGAAATTTTTGAATAAAGAGATTTTTATTACAATCGGCAACAAAATCAATAGTAAACACTGAGTTTTCCTTCCTGGGTTTTAATGGAGTGCATCATAGTACTTCGGCTATTATAAACTCTTGCACGTAATTCACGTCAAACAAGATATAAAAACCAAACCCCGACTGATACACATAAGCCACAAAACGGGAAAAGAACGTTCTGAAATTAACATGGTGATTAAAGAGGAAACGTGTCTTATTCCCAGAATCATCACATGTCGAATTCTTAGGCAATTTTGTTACTTGCGTTACTTAAATTCAGACACACCATTTTACGTGGAAAACAGTTTTCATTCAGAGAGACATGCACATAATAAACATATGTTGTTTAATGTGAAAACAGACGTTGCACAAAAAATCAGATTGAAATTGCATATTTCAGTTTTCTCACCAGGATATCCGACGTGATGTTGCTGCTACTGTTGTCGCTGGTGTACCTGCCGGGGGTCGTCACCGTCAACAACGATGTTTTGATGGATGGCGATGTGGTCCTCGGGGGACTGTTTAGTGTTCAAGACTATACAGAAGGACGCTGTGAGAGTATACTTCCAAGCTCCATAATGACTCACGAAGCGATAAGATGGTTCTTTAAGAAGCTAAATGAACGGAACTACATTTCAAATGTCTCCCTGGGTAGGTACTTCTTTTTCAAACTCGGTTCCTCCATACAACTGGACTATTAATGAGTGCGTCGTTAAATAACAAAATCAAACTCAAAATACAACTGTGTTGGTGAGATATTGCTTTGTTTATATGAAAAAACAACAACATTTATGTATATTATGAAACTGCGTTGTTGAGGTTTTTCTGTAATTTTACGAAAATAATTATATATAATCTTCATATCCTTAAATATACATATTGCGTTTGACTGGTAATATTTCTAAATACTCATTATCAGTTTTTACAACAAATAACTGATGAATAAATGACATATTTGACCTGATTTTTCATGTTAAAGGTTTACATGCATACAAAACCTGCGGTCAGCCCCCTTTGGCGGTAAAGGCGACCATTGCCATGAAGAACACATGGGACGGTATATCGAAATTCCAAGGTAAAGCATGTAGATGTCATGACATTTTTCACTTAGCATCTTTGGTCGTCGATTGCAGCATCTGATTGCATTGTATATCAAAGTGGTTTTCGTTAATGTTGCCGAGTTCTGTTTCAGGATTGTACCATACCATTGTTTATTCTTAAGTCATTGTTTATTCTTAAGTCATTGTTCAAGTAAACTTATTCTAAACTTTACACCTCCAGACATCTTTTGGATGAAACTGGATGTGATATGAAATAGGTGGTAATAAATCTATATAGCAAATGTTGAGCATAAGCGTGAATCAGCATTAAGTTTAGTCTTGGAAATTAGTCTTGAGAAAGGTCGACGGTCACAGCTGCCTCGGGCTCTCTGTCACCATTTGTTTCAATGATACACACTTCAATAATTAATGCCCACCTACATCATACATACATCTTTCGTGGATGTTATGAGGGACCTTTTTATCAACAAAGAAGAAGACTGTCAGGAACATACACCAGACGCCAAAAGAAACGTTACCCTCCTACCTTTATGAATTACATAAAAAGTATCAAAGATATGGTACAAGGTATTAGCTTTAAAAGAAAGCTTAACAACACAGTTTTATGCAAATCACGAACATAAATTCTCAAATGCATTCATAATTAGATGAAATGCATCAGACTATTATTTTTCGTCCATGCCGAAGTAAACCAATAACAGTAATTTAGATGTCCAAAAGAAAGTTTGAAATAAAATTCTGCTTTGGGACAAAGATAAATCATTTAAAATCACCATTTTTCAACTATTCAAACAAGAAACAACTGTTGTAGAGTGTGTTAAATTGTAAAATTATCATTCCTATGATTTCAGTCTTTTAAAACATTTTCTGCTGATTTGCATCAGTGAAAAACAAGTAAAACGTGTCTTTGATATTGTGAAAAAATGTTTAGGAACTTCTACAATGATTTTTGTTAAAATTGTTGCTTACACATAGCAATATCAGTCGCCAAAACGCAGCTATATTCAAGCAGTATTTGCATCCATTTCACATGTAGAATGATTCTATAGGGTATGAATAGAGCCTAGAAAAGATGATATGATACACAAGTACGAGAAATATGCCACGGTTAACAGCTGAAGAGAAAGGAAAAGCCACTGGGATGGTGCAGATGGGGGTCGACATACAATGCTGTTGCCAACGCCCTCGGATGCCACGGTATCACGGTTATAAAACTTATTCAGGGCTTCAGACAGACTGGAGTCACCGTACACAGACCAAGAAGTGGACGTCCACGCATCACAACGTCAGTTGAAGATAGGTACCGCCGTCATTAAGGAAGGAGGGTAGCGTGTCCTTTGGCGTTTAGTGTATTCAGGTGTCTATGCAACAGATTTAGGGCGTGGGAATAGTGTTTAAATCCTATCAATAAATCAACCCTTTTAGGTGTATAGATGCATGTATGGTAACCCGTCTAGATTAATATACATTGCTAGTAATTAATTTCTAGATGCTTCCAGTAATTTCTCGTTGCTTCGAGTATTTTCACAAAACTTGTAATTTCGAGTTTTTGAAAGAAACTTGAAGCAACCTGAAAATACTGGAAGAATCGAGAAATTAATTGACGGATCGAGAAAATACTCGAAATTTCAAGTCTTCAAATGCAAAGGAACTTGAATATCGAGAAAATACTCGAAGCAACGAGACAATAATCGAAATAACGAGGAAATACTCGGAGCAACGACAAAATAATCGAAGCAAAGAAACTTTTCGCTGAAAATATATTTCATCCCACAAAAGTGGCAGTTTTAGGCTTTCGTAGATATACAATATCTGGTTCATTATTTCTCATAGCAAATATTTCATAAGAAGTATTGTATACTGATAATGCATTGTGAAATCTGATTTTATTAGGAATTGTTGGACCCGGCTTCAGTGCAGAAACTCAGGACGTATCTCGTTTGCTGAGTTCGCTTCCAGAGGAGGATCGTCTGCTGCAGATCAGCTACTCCGCCACGGCCGCCATCCTCTCTGACAAGAGTGTCTACAAAAACCTGTACCGGGTCATAGAAACAGATGATGTACAAGTGGAGGTAAGACATCCGACTTGTTATTAATCTTTCCATACGACGAAAAGTCTTCAGAGCTGCACATATATCCTAAGGACTTGATATCACGTCCAGTCACCTACAACCCTTGCATACGACCAGATTTTTCCAGCTGTAGCCTCTGAATTCGATGGACGAGATATGACGTCGGGTTTTTTACAATGTTTCCATACGAGGGACGTGATAATTCGTCTACTCATACTAAACATATTTCACAGTTTTCTAGCCGTGTATCCTCGTCCTTCGAATGCAGTTCGTGTACTTTGTGACAGTGCATTATTTAGGATTTACTTGATTATCTCCCCTGGTCTATATGGCCTTGATATTCGGTGACCACAGAGCGTTAAATGGCTGGTTGTCGAAAATCGTATCTGACTGTATGCCAAGTTCTATCTGCCATTTGCGATGACGAGAGTAGCTGTTACGACGTTTGACGTTTGATTGTTAGCAATGTTCTTTGACTGTTGACTGTTCTTATAGTTGTTACCACAGGTAACATTCGTTTCATCGTTGTTTCGATTTGGATGTCATGGCCCAATAATTCTAAGTGATGATATAAATCTACTAAACTGTGGTTGTTCTTCCACCATAGTGTAGTCACTGGATTAAAGAAATTGTCACAATTACCACACTGCTGTGTAAGTTCCATTATGTTTCTCCTCTTAGAATAAAATGTTTTCCAATGTTTCTGTGCTAAAGACGACCTATTTTTTCTCTTTTGGTCTGAAATATTTTAATCAAAGTTAATAAAGATGTTTTCAAAAAAAATCAGTTCATATGGATTTTGATGTTATGCTAGTCATGAATGGTCCATGTCAACCGTTGCAACCATGGGTTGGTCATATCACGTCCCTCGTATGTAAGTGCCATGTTGCTCGTATTTAAGGGTTGTGACCCATCAGACGTAATATCTCGTCCTTCGAATGGAAAGAGTTAAGAACTATACATTGGGCTTATGTGACCGTGGTATTCAAACAGGGTAAAGATGGCAAAAGAGTCTGCAGAAACTGGATCAGAGAATCAGAGATCGCATGAATCACTGGCTGAATTAAGGTTTGTTTGCAAGAATGTCCGTAATGTTTAGCCTATAAAACATTTTAAGGTCTTATGCTGACAATCGTGGTGACTCTTTGAATGGAACCAGGTACTAGCTTGTGAGAACAATGCGTAAGAACTTACGACATCGAAACATATGATATGTTCATCTACAAATAGTAGTTAAACTAACTTAAAGAATTTACACAATCATTATAGAGCCAATCATAACAATGATTTAGCTTCGTAGCCTGGGCCCTTATTCTCGAAACGTTCGTAGCCCTAAGAATTCTTAACTTTGATCGTAGCCAATGTGTTAAGAATGGGCTTAAGAAGTTCGTTGGGCTACGAACGTTTCGAGAATAGCTAGCCTGGTACGACCATCAATAGCTTAGTGCAATGCCCGTCTGTCTGTGCCATGTGCAGTAGATCGACTAGGAACACTTACTTTTCAGTGTTGACAGTTAAAATATACCCATCTAGTGAATGATTAGGTAGGTAGCAGTTCTTCTCTTGTTTGAATCCCTTCCTTTTCTATTGCTATACGTCAAATGCATTCACACAGGTGAGAGATGAGTCATCCCAAGTCTCGTTCGCTGACATGTTTTTTTAGTTAATATTTGATGTCATAATGCGCTTGGAAGTTAGATGAATAACTTAAACAGAAAACAGAAATAGTTAATAATTCAAAACATATGAAATGAAATTTCGGTAATACTTGTATTAGAATAATCAACTGAAATCTGTCATGCAGTGTATTATATTTTTCAGCACTTTGCACTTAATCTTGTAAGTTTGCAGAAAACAGTTACAAGAAAAGGTTATTTTTTATAGTAATTATGATTTCCATTTTGCCTTTTGATATTGTGGTTAATTAGTTAATGACTGTCCAATGAAGGATGCAATAATAAAAAGTAGGTGTCATCGCCTGACGTGGAATGGGAGATATTTATCATACATATATATACGATTATATTATGATACAAAATGAAAATCAATATATTCTTGAAACCTACAAGACCGTTGTTGGAATCGAATAAGAATATGCTGATCAACAAAATGTCAATTTGTGAAACAATAGTCTCGAGTGGTTTTACACGGTTTATGTTTTCATGAAATTAACCAACGGCACGAACTAAATTGAACCCCACAGATGACCATCTGTCTTTATCTCGCCGTGTCAAAGTGAGATAAATGTAAACATAAAGAAAGAGCCCCTATTTTCACCAGGAGACACGTTTAAGGGGAGATAACTTGCTAGGAGGAAACTCTTGTAAAACGCATAGTCTTGTCAATGTGTTGTTATGTTTCGCAACTTCAGAACGCTGAGTCTTTCACACTCATGTATATAATAAACAGTTGATATAAGTGCGATACTTATTCACCGGAACACAGCAAATACGCTGAGTAAACAGATTACTTAATATCATATATCATACATTACATATTTTCTTTACAGCTTTGATGACAGTTTGAAAAGACAGATACACATTTATTAGAAATGGATACTAATCAAAATAACCATATACGATACCACTGCGTCTTCTCTCTTCCCTTGTCTTTGTCGATTTCTTATCTGTCAAGTTCTATCACTTTCTTAATCATGATGTCTATACTGTAAATTTTGAATTTTGGAAATACCAGAGATATGTGTTCGAAGTTGAAGAACTTGTTTCCAATCCCTTTCACATGTGAATAAAAAATGTTTACATCAAATGATTTAAATAGGATTCATTGTGTACAGAATTACAAGTCAGCATTTATATGGAAATTAATAAACCAGTATGATTGTGTAACGCATGTTATGTATGGGATTACTGACTGACTGACTGAGTTTGGTTTTACGCCCCTTTTACCAATATTCCAGCAACATCACGGCGGGGGACACCAGAAATGGGCTTCACACATTGTACCCATGTGGGGATTCGAACCCGGGTCTTTGTGTGCTGGAGATTACATGTAGGTGCAGGAGTGTGGGTTCGAATACCGAATGGGACTTAACTCAACAAAAGTACCATTCGTAACTACTCGTGTCATTCCGGCAAGCCGGACTATTTACAAGGAAAGATAACTCTGAATTTCCAAACACGGCTACTCCTACAAATTAATAGTACAACACGAAAGTCGCTTTAAGTAAGTTACCTATGTCCTTAGCATGTATCAGTAACAAGAAACTTTTATAATCACGGAAATTATAAGGAAAATCGATAATCGCAAAGAAACTATTTGACTCATTTCACCTCTTACTACACGCGAATTGATTGGTTTGTAACGATTCTTGGCAATAATGGCGTACTGTACAGGTACGAGTTTTCTTGTGGGTCACGGAAAGAGGCGAGTAGTAACGAATGCAAAAGTACAAGAATCTGTTACGTCTGACCACTTTCAAAATTACATTGTGTATTCACAGTATAATTGTTATTCTTCTATCCAGATTATGGTTCAGCTGATGAAGTCCCTCCAGTGGAACTACATCGCTATTGTGTATGGTGATGACACCTACGGCAGGAAGGAGCCAAACCCTGAAATCCATGGCAGAGAGTCACGGCATATGCATACCCGTGTTCGTACCAATATCTCCGGGATCCGTGAGCGACGAACTACGACAACGCTTTGAGACAATTAAAGATGAGCTTCAAAAGGATTCACAATCGCCAGTGGTTGGTTTGGCTTTTTTCGGCCAAGCTGAAACTGCCAAAGCGATGTTCGATTACCTTGAGATCGAGCTCAGCAACTTCCAGATGATAGTTTCTGAGTCCATTGGTGAAAGTGAGTCATATTTGATGAAGTCTGACGGAAGCGTGTACCCATTAGCTAAGGGACTTCTCACCCCAAGTCCTCCATACTATGATGTCGAGCTGTTCCAACTACACTGGCAGTCGCTTCATACCCAAGGCAATGTTATGCGAGAATACATACAAGATGATGATTGGCTGTTGAAATACATGGAACAAGTAACCAAGTGTTCCCTGGCAAATGAAACAAATATTCCACCATCCTGTATTCAACGGTCCACAGATTCAGTACAAAATGCCAAACTCTCCATCTACACCAACTACGCACTGATGGCTGCAGCCGCCTTTGCAAAGACATACAAGACATTATATGAGTTGAAATGTCCTCAACAAACAGGTGTATGCAAGGATGTGGATGATTATATCTCCAACAAGGCCAAGTTTATTGAGGAAATGGCTGCAGTAGAAGTCAACCCTGTCGTTGAATTTACCGAGCTGTCACCCTTTCGGTTGAAGTTTGGATTCAGGAATGGAGAGCTTATGTACACGGAAATGGGAAACTATTCCACGTACATTGTTAACAATTACCAGCAATGCGACACTAAGTTTTGTCATGTGCAGGTGAGAGAAAATGTGTATACGTTGTTTTGTGTGCGACTTGTGTATGGATGCATGTTTTAGTATTCTTGAGGCTGGATATACCAACTTTTAGAAAGGTTACAATAGGATTTTTGTACCAATGGATAAATGGAATTTCAATAATATATAGTCAAAATTGTTAAGACAGCAATATGATTAACTGGGATAACATGAGTGAGTGAGTGAGTATGTTACACTTTGTACCCATGAGGGGAATCAAACCCGGATCTTCGGCGTGACGAGCGAACGCTTTAAGCAGTAGGCTACCCCACCGTCCCGGCATCACATGAGCTATCCATACATATAGAAAGCAAAAATTATTTAATTATTTTCGGATTTATTTCTTTGTTACTGAAACGTCAATTTAATATTCTCCCCATAATTGATGAAACAATTCCTATTTGTGAGGTATCATTCACAACCATTCTATTGTAGGTTGCGGATTACGATGGTGCAAACCTGACTGTATCGACGGACCGCATCAGGTCCTATAGAAGAAATGGTGATGAAGTTATAGGGCCTGTAGCTGCCCAGTGTCAACAGCCGTATACCTGTGATAAGTGCAGTCGAACCATCACCCCTACAGATGTGTTATACATTCCTGGAGACTACTACATAGTAGGACTTGTCCCTATCCACAACAAGAAACAAGATGACCCTCTGCAGTGTGGTGAACTACGGACCGCCGACAGTGTGGACATTGCAGAAAGTATTTCATTTGCGATTAAGAGAGCCAACTCGCAGAAAACTACATACATATCGGCCTTCGGGGAAAAAACAGTTGGTTTGGTTCTGATTGACACTTGCAATAATCCCTTTCAGGCTAGAGAACAAATCATACAGTTGCATCGAGGTGAATTGAAATTGTCATCTAAACTTAACAGTTCCATGCTTGTTAATAGAATAATTGGATACGTTGGGCCATACGGTAGCTCTGTGTCAGTGCCAGTGTCGACTCTCTTGGCTGAGATAGATGAGCTAGTAATTGCATTTGCTGCAAGCTCTGTTGTCCTCAGTGACAGAACCTTGCATCCGACATTCATGAGACCAGTTTCTCCTGACAACAAGCAAGCTGATGTTATAATGCATCTTGCTAAGATTCTTGGTGCCAAGTATGTTCAGATACTGTATACAGATGAAGTGTATGGCATCACGGGGAAGGAAGCGTTAGAAAAGTCCGCAAAGATCCACAAAGTCTGCATCGCTCAATCTCTTAAGATACTGGATTCAACTGCTTCTTCGAACTCCGTGGGCTACGTTTCTGAGTTGAGGAAGTTTCGCCATGCCAGGATGGTTATCGTGTTTGTGAGGTCACACGTGGCACCTATTCTAATGACTGCACTCAATAAGGAGGTAGACAATGGGGAGTTCGTCTTCATTGGCGGAGAAAGTTGGGGAAAACGTCCACAGGTCCTGACGAATAACTTTCAAATTCGTGGCAGCTTGACCATAGGGCAAGATCTACCGCGGAACACGGCATTTGAAGACCATTACCGTGAAATTGATCTCGAGCAAACAGAAAACCCATGGCTGCAAGAATACTTAGAAGAACGTAACGAATGCTATTACCCTTTGAGTTTTAAGAAGAAAAACACACACCAATGTAGCCCTACCGTCTTAGAAGCATACCGTCCGACAGACACATGGGTGCCGTTTGCCATAAATGCTGCGCATGCTCTTATAATTGGATTTAATCAAATTCTGGAAGACACTTGCTTTGGGTCTTTCCCAAATTGCCCCGAATATTCCACTGCTAAGCTAATAGAAAAGGTTAAAGCTGTTCGCCTTGACATGTATTACGATGGCAGAAATGTTCGTGTGTTCGACGACAATGGTGAAGGGAATGTAGCTTACACAATTTATCAGATTATCAGAGAAGGGAGTGCCCTTAGTTACAAAAGGGTGAGTTTTATTTATTTAATCGTTTAATTTCGTTTACATTGATGTGTATTGCAACTATATGGCGGCGGTCTGAAAGTAATCGAGTCTGGACCAGACAAACCAGTGAACAACAACATGCGCATCGATCTACGCAGTCTTCTTTTACAAAACCTTTTTTTCTTTTACAAAACCCTTCGAGGTCAGATACAAAAGAAAATTTCAGATTGAAATGAGATAACATAAACATGAGAGAGTGAGAGAGAGCGAGAGAGGCAATCATTACACATAAACTGTTGCGTTATATATAGTCTATATATATATAATAGATACTTGGTATATAGATGATATATATATATATGTGTGTGTGTGTGTGTGTGTGTGTGTGTGTGTGTGTGTGTGTGTTTTCAGTGGCTGTTATGATATATCAATTTGTATAATGTTAACATTCCAGATTGGAACGTCTGAAAATGGGGTGCAGTTTGTGGTTTCAAACTTGGATACGTCGTTTGAAGTGGACCTGTCATCTAGTTGTCAGAACGATGTTGACTGTGGCATATGCTCCAGACAATTCAACAAATCTGGTTTAAGGTAAGATGAATTTGTATCACGTTGCTTCCTTCTGGCCTGACATAGCTGCCATTACAGAGATTGTGTGACTTATTTACTGTGTTATCACATCATAACAGATTTAGCTGGCGTCCTTGAGGTACACGGTCGAACATTTTAAGGGCATACTCCGTAATACAGCTTTCGTTGTTAGAGCATTCTACTGCACACAACTGTCATTGTTATAGCATTCTGCCCACACAGCTGTCACTGATAGAACTTTCTGCCTCACACAGCTGTCATTGATAGAGCATTCTGCCTCACACAGCTGTTACTGATAGAGCATTCTGCCTCACACAGCTGTCATTGTTAGAGCATTCTGCCTCACACAGCTGTCATTGTTAGAGCATTCTGCCTCACACAGCTGTCATTGTTAAAGCATTCTGCCTCACACAGCTGTCATTGTTAGAGCATTCTGCCTCACACAGCTGTCATTGTTAGAGCATTCTGCCTCACACAGCTGTCATTGTTAGAGCATTCTGCCTCTCACAGCTGTCACTGTTAGAGAATTCTGCCTCACACAGCTGTCATTGATAGAGCATTCTGCCTCACACAGCTGTCATTGTTAGAGCATTCTGCCTCACACAGCTGTCAATGTTAGAGCATTCTGCCTCACACAGCTGTCAATGTTAGAGCATTCTGCCTCACACAGCTGTCAATGTTAGAGCATTCTGCCTCACACAGCTGTCATTGTTAAAGCATTCTGCCTCACACAGCTGTCAATGTTAGAGCATTCTGCCACAAACAGCTGTCAATGTTAGAGCAATCTGCCTCACACAGCTGTCATTGTTAGAGCATTCTGCCTCACACAGCTGTCATTGTTAGAGCATTCTGCGTCACACAGCTGTCAATGTTAGAGAAATCTGCCACACACAGCTGTCATTGTTAGAGCATTCTGCCTCACACAGCTGTCAATGTTAGGGCAATCCACCTTGAAACAACTGTCATGTTTTCCTGGGATATTGTTCAGCGACCCCGTGAACAGTGACAATGTGCCAGCTATCATTCTTGGCGCGTTCGTGGCTGTGTTGGTGATCGTGGTCATAGCACTGGTGGTTGTGTTGGTCAAGACGCGTCGTAGAGCAGCTTCCACGGACGGTGAGATATTTGTTTATGGTTTTCACTTTCCCATATAGGTTTGTAGATAAACACATTTTAGTTTGCAAAGTATAAAAAGTCGATAATGCCGATGTAATGTAAGTTAATTTCAGTTTCCGTAGAGCATCTAAGTATCTTTAAATCCAAATATAACATTTTGTTTTATAAGAATACTCTCTATTTGTGTTTAGAAGTCATACAGTCATCTCCTTTTATTTTTGTATCACGGGTGCATTCAGAATAATATAAACATGTTGCAAACCTTTCCACAATCACAAGAAGGCTGTGCCAAAAGATGATATTAATAACTCATTGAATCGGAAATATTTTTTCAAAAATAGAATGATTGTTTGTGGCCATGCCAGTTGTTAAGTTAGAAATATAGAGGTTATGTCCATCAGTGACAAAGCATGACGTTCTATGTTTTTAAGGTGAAACTTGCTTCTGTATTTGTTGGTGATGGGATAAGGTACACTGTCCTTTTCACAGAACATCTGATGCCACCATTGCATTGTTGTAAACTTGAACACGTGCTTATAGTTATAGTCAATCCCCACATGGCCCATTTCTGGTGTGCCCCTTCGTGACTTTGCTCGAATATTGCTAATTAGAAGCGAAAACTTCATCAAATCAATCAATCAATCAGCCAATCAATCAATCAATCAAAATATAGTCATAGTCGTGCAATGGACTCAGCTATAACAGCTTTATCATATGCAAGAATTATCTAAAAGGGTCATCACCCAGGTACTGTAACTATCTTCCACGGGTAGAAATGCTCATTTATTTGAAATAAGCTTATGAGAATTGAATGATGTTTTATGAGTATGTCGAACGTTTTTGCCTCATCGGTTTATATTTGTTTCTCATATCATACGTTGCAGCATTGGGATCTGGCCAAGGCGATGATTACCATGAACTTGATCTTGTGGCTCACAGTCGATCACCAGCCCAGTGTAAGGGACCTCCAAAGCCCAACTATAGGCACGGTGAAATACCAGGTTCCATTTTCCCCACATTTTCCCTACTCCTCTAAATGCGCCTTTGTGTAATGACACTCGTTATACTGGAGTCGACCCGGGAAGACCCGGATTAGAATTGATCTTCAGTTACCCATGCTTGTCGTAAGAGGCGACTAATGGGATCAGGTGGTAAGGCTCACTGACTTGGTTGACACGTACCACCGTATCCCAGTTTTGTAGATCGATGCTCATGCTGTTGATCACTGTATTGCCTGGTCCAGACTCTTTTATTTACAGACTGCCGCCATACAGCTGAGTGGGGCGCAAAACAACAAACCAAACCAAACCATGCTTGAGTCATGACATGCCGGCGATTCCAAAATACTTTCACGATCTCACATCCCGATGACTTCTAACATTACTACGCTTATCAAACATGTCTTCACCCACCTTGTCTTATCTTAAAGCAGATTGAGTGTGTAACATGTTTGAGATCCAGCCACATGTATTGTGCACTCTTTAATTTAGATGAATAAGTATTACTGTTCCAATACGTTAATTGAAATTAAAAGTAAACTTTGAAGTGCGGTCCGCGATAACCAACAATATTAAAGCGCTCGTACAATGCGTTTCTCCGCACTGTGCCTCAAAAATTATTGCAATTATTGCTGGAGCAATTCCTAATTCCGTGTCGTCGTCTGATGATATATTTTGGATAGGATTTACTATGTCTCGAGATGTTTCTTTACAGATAATATTTTCGTGAACTTTTGTTTCATTGGGAAAAGAGGTCAAGTGGGAGGGTAAATATTCTTTCCCTCAAAGTATCTAATGCTTTGCAATGAAAAATATAGTGGTATTCATCTGCGATGCTTTTAGAAGTACATAGTTGATTACTGTTCTCTCGTCCCTTTGAATATTTTTCCAGCGGCCTGTCTCAATAGGTAAACTATGGTTACATGTTCTAAATCCCAATAATGGCAAAGAAATGCGTTTTAGAAGGAGGAGATATACATCAAAATTGGGAAATGGCTTTAGGTGCTGATAGTGTATACCCTTAGGACTAGAAATAATGTCATTGTGCCAGTTTTGGATAAATTGATCTTTAAGAATATGTTCAACTTTTGAGACCAGCCACTGGGTAGTACAAATTGAGGGATTATCAAAACATACGAGAGTCCAGTATTGTCTAATATATTTTTAACGTGCGAGAGCCAGGATTATGTTTTTTTATCTAATGAACAGTGGCTTCTTACGAGAGAGATATGAGAACACTGTGTAGTCTACTATCAGTGCATGCTTGGAGTTGACAACCAAAACCGAAAGTAAAGCTTCATCCATTTCTGGCTTTTCTCATTTGAATTTTCCTTTGCCAGTTTGGGTACTATTCCTCAAACGTACCCCAGTGCTATCACTAATGTAATCAACCCGCGAAGATCCTCGATTAGAATTGCTCTTCACTAATCCATGCTTGTCGTAAGAGGGCGACTAACGGGATCAGGTGGTAAGGCTCTACTGAACTTGTTTCCAATCCCTTTTGGCACATGTGAATAAAAATGTTTACATCAAAATGATTTAAATAGGATTCATTGTGTACAGAATTACAAGTCAGCATTTATATGGAAATTAATAAACCAGTATGATTGTGTAACGCATGTTATGTATGGATTACTGACTGACTGACTGAGTTTGGTTTTACGCCCCTTTACCAATATCTGTTAGCAACATCACGGCGGGGACACCCTTAGAAATGGGCTTCTGGCACATTGTAATTCCATGTGGGGATTCGAACTCCGGTCTTTGTGTGCTGAGAATTACATGTAGGGTGCAGGAGTGTGGGTTCGAATACCGAATGGGACTTAACTCAACAAAAAGTACCATCATTCGTAACTATACTGTGTCATTCCGGCAAGCCGGACTATTTTTACAAGGAAAGATAACTCTGAATTTCCAAACACGGCTACTCCCTACAAATTAATGAGTACAACACGAAAGTCGCTTTTAAGTAAGTTACCTATGTCCTTAGCAGCATGTATCAGTAACAAGAAACTTTTATATTCACGGAAATTATAAGGAAAATCGATAATCGCAAAAGAAACTATTTGACTCATTTCACCTCTTACTACACGCGAATTGGATTGGTTTGTAACGATTCTCGGCAATAATGGCGTACTGTACAGGTACGAGTTTCCTTTGTGGGTCACGGAAAAGAGGCGAGTAGTAACGAATGCAAAAGTACAAGAATCTGTTACGTCTGACCACTTTCAAAATTACATTGTGTATTCACAGTATAATTGTTATTCTTCTACCCAGATTATGGTTCAGCTGATGGGAAGTCCCTTCCAGTGGAACTACATCGCTATTGTGTATGGTGATGACACCTACGGCAGGAAGGCGGTTTCAAAACCCTGAAATCCATGGCAGAGTCACGGTGATATGCATACCCGTGTTCGTACCAATATCTCCGGGGATCCGTGAGCGACGAACTACGACAACGCTTTGAGACAATTAAAGATGAGCTTCAAAAGGATCACAATCGCCAGTGGTTGGTTTGGCTTTTCGGCCAAGCTGAAACTGCCAAAGCGATGTTCGATTACCTTGAGATCGAGCTCAGCAACTCGCGATGATAGCTCTGAGTCCATTGGTGAAAGTGGAGTCATATTTGATGAAGTCTGACGGAAGCGTGCGTACCCATTAGCTTAAGGGACTTCTCACCCCAAGTCCTCCATACTATGATGTCGAGCTCGTTCCAACTACACTGGCAGTCGCTTCCATACCTAAAGGCAATGTTATGCGAGAATATATACAAGATACATGATTGGCTGTTGAAATATTAATGGAACAAGTAACGCTGTTCCCCTGGCAAATGAAACAAATATTCCATTCATCCTGTCTCTCTAACGGTCCACAGATTCAGTACAAAATGCCAAACTCTCCATCTACACCAACTACGCACTGATGGCTGCAGCCGCCTTTGCAAAGACATACAAGACATTATATGAGTTGAAATGTCCTCGCAACAAACAGGTGTATGCAAGGATGTGGAGGATTATATCTCCAACAAGGCCAAGTTTATTGAGGAAATGGCTGCAGAAGCTCAACCCTGTCGCTGAATTTACTGAGCTGTCAAATTTCTGGCTGAAGTTTGATTCAGGAATGGAGAGCTGGCGTACACGGAAATGGGAACCATTCCACGCACATTGTTAATAATTACCAGCAATGCGACACTAAGTTTCCTATTTCGCGCAGGTGAGAGAAAAATGTGTATACGTTGTTTTGTGTGCGACTGGTGTATGGATGCATTGCTCTTTAGTATTCCTTTGAGGCTGGATATACCAACTTTTAGAAAGGTTACAATAGGATTTTGTACCAATGGATAAATGGAATTTCAATAATATATAGTCAAAATTGTTAAGACAGCAATATGATTAACTGGGATAACATGAGTGAGTGAGTGAGTATGTTACACTTTGTACCCAAGGGAAATCAAACCTGATCTTCATGGATTTGTTTAACGCTTTGGCAGTAGGCTACCCCACCGTCCCGGCATCACATACAGCCATCCATACATATAGAAAGCAAAAAATTATTTAATTATTTTCGATTTATTTCTTTGTTACTGAAACGTCAATTTAATATTCTCCCATAATTGATGAAACAATTCCTATTTGTGAGATATCATTCACAACTATCTCTATTGTAGGTTGCGGATTACGATGGTGCAACCTGACTGTATCGACGGACCGCATCAGGTCCCTATAGAAGAAAATGGTGATGAAGTTATAGGCCTGTAGCCGCCCAGCACAAACATGCCGCATACCCGTGATAAGCGCAGCCGAACCATCACCCTACAGATGTGTTATACATTCCTGGAGACTACTACATAGTAGTAATTCATCCCCATCCACAACAAGAAACAAGATGACCCTCTGCAGTGCGGTGAACTACGGACCGCCGACAGTGTGGACATTGCAGAGTATTTCATTTGCGATTACAGAGCCAACTCCGCAGAAAAAACTACATATCGGCCTTCGGGGAAAAAATAACAGTTGGTTTGGTTCCTGATTGACACTTGCAATAATCCCTTTCAGGCTAGAGAACAAATCATACAGTTGCATCGAGGTGAATTCGAAATTGTCATCTAAACTTAACAGTTCCATGCTTGTTAATAGAATAATTGATACGTTGGGCCATACGGTAGCCCTGTGTTAAAGCAGTAAGTGTCGACTCTCTTGGCTGAGATAGATGAGCTAGTAATTGCATTTGCTGCAAGCTCTGTTGTCCCCAGTGTGACAGAACCTGCATCCGACATTCAGCAAGGACCAAGGTTTCTCCTGACAACAAGCAAGCTGGATGTTATAGTGCATCTTGCTAAGATTCTTGAAGAAGTTTTCCAAAAATTATGTTCAGATACTGTATACAGATGAAGTGTATGGCATCACGGGGAGCGCTGAAGCGTTAGAAAAGTCCCGCCAAAGATCCACAAAGTCTGCATCGCTCAATCTCTTTAAGATACTGGATTCAACTCAAAGCTGCTTCAGACTCCGTGGGCTACGTTTCTACGGAGGTTGAAGTTTCTGCCATGCCAGGATGGTTATAGAGTGTTGTTTGTGAGGTCACGCGTGGCACCTATTCTAATGACTGCACTCAATAAGGTGGAGCAATGGGGGAGTTCGTCTTCGACGGCGGAGAAAGTTGGGAGAGAAACGTCCTGAGTCCCCGACGAATAACTTTAAATTTCTGCGGCAGCTTGACCATAGGGCGGGTCACCGCGGAACACGGCATTTGAAGACCATTACCGTGAAATTGATCTCCAGCAAACAGAAAACCCCATGGCTGCAAGAATACTTAGAAGAACGTAACAAATGCTATTACCCTTTGAGTTTAAGAGGACAAACAGCACCGCAAATGTAGCCCTACCGCCTTAGAAGCATACCGTCCGACAGACACATGTGGTTGCCGTTTGCCATAAATGCTGCGCATGCTCTTATAATTGGATTTAATCAAATTCTGGAGACACTTGCTTTGGGTCTTTCCCAAATTGCCCCGAATATTCCACTGCTAAGCTACAATAGAAAGGTTAAAGCTGTTCGCCTTGACATGTATTACGATGGCAGAAATGTTCGATGTGTCTGATCATTGACAATGGTGAAGGGAATGTAAAAGCTTACACAATTTATCAGATTATCAGAGAGGGAGTGCCATAGTTACAAAGGGTGAGTTTTATTTATTTAATCGTTTAATTTCGTTTCACATTGATGTGTATTGCAACTATATGGCGGGCGGTCTGAAAGTAATCGAGTCTGGACCAGACAAACCAGTGAACAACAACATGCGCATCGATCTACGCAGTCTTCTTTTACTAAACCTTTTTTCTTTTACAAAACACTTCGAGGTCAGATACAAAAGCAAATTTCTGATTGAAATGAGATAACATAAACATGAGAGAGTGAGTGGCGCAGAGCGAGAGGGCAATCATTACACATAAACTGTTGCGTTATATATAGTCTATATATATATAATAGATACTTGGTATATAGATGATATATATATATATGTGTGTGTGCGTGTGTGTGTGTGTGTGTGTTTTCAGTTGCTGTTATGATATATCAATTTGTATAATGTTAACATTCCAGATTGGAACGTCTGAAAATGGGGTGCAGTTTGTGGTTTCAAACTTGGATACGTCGTTTGAAGTGGACCTGTCATCTAGTTGTCAGAACGATGTTGACTGTGGCATATGCTCCAGACAATTCAACAAATCTGGTTTAAGGTAAGATGAATTTGTATCACGTTGCTTCCTTCTGGCCTGACATAGCTGCCATTACAGAGATTGTGTGACTTATTTACTGTGTTATCACATCATAACAGATTTAGCTGGCGTCCTTGAGGTACACGGTCGAACATTTTAAGGGCATACTCCGTAATACAGCTTTCGTTGTTAGAGCATTCTGCCCACACAGCTGTCATTGATAGAGAATTCTACTTCACACAACTGTCATTGTTATAGCATTCTGCCCACACAGCTGTCACTGATAGAACTTTCTGCCTCACACAGCTGTCATTGATAGAGCATTCTGCCTCACACAGCTGTTACTGATAGAGCATTCTGCCTCACACAGCTGTCATTGTTAGAGCATTCTGCCTCACACAGCTGTCATTGTTAGAGCATTCTGCCTCACACAGCTGTCATTGTTAAAACATTCTGCCTCACACAGCTGTCATTGTTAAAACATTCTGCCTCACACAGCTGTCATTGTTAGAGCATTCTGCCTCACAGAGCTGTCATTGATAGAGCATTCTGCCTCACACAGCTGTTACTGATAGAGCATTCTGCCTCACACAGCTGTCATTGTTAGAGCATTCTGCCTCACACAGCTGTCATTGTTAGAGCATTCTGCCTCACACAGCTGTCAATGTTAGAGAAATCTGCCACACACAGCTGTCATTGTTAGAGCAATCTGCCTCACACAGCTGTCATTGTTAGAGCATTCTGCCTCACACAGCTGTCAATGTTAGGGCAATCCACCTTGAAACAACTGTCATGTTTTCCTGGGATATTGTTCAGCGACCCCGTGAACAGTGACAATGTGCCAGCTATCATTCTTGGCGTGTTCGTGGCTGTGTTGGTGATCGTGGTCATAGCACTGGTGGTTGTGTTGGTCAAGACGTGTCGTAGAGCAGCTTCCACGGACGGTGAGATATTTGTTTATGGTTTTCACTTTCCCATATAGGTTTGTAGATAAACACATTTTAGTTTGCAAAGTATAAAAAGTCGATAATGCCGATGTAATGTAAGTTAATTTCAGTTTCCGTAGAGCATCTAAGTATCTTTAAATCCAAATATAACATTTTTGTTTGATAAGAATACTCTCTTTTTGTGTTTTGAAGTCATACAGTCATCTCCTTTTATTTTTCTATCACGGGTGCATTCAGAATAATATAAAAATATTGCAAACATTTCCACAATCACAAAAAGGCTGTGCCAAAAGATGATATTAATAACTCATTGAATCAGGAATATTTTTGTCAAAAATAGGAATGATTGTTTGTGGCCATGCCAGTTGTTAAGTTAGAAATATACATGTTATGTCCATCAGTGACAAAGCATGACGTTCTATGTTTTTAAGGTGAAACTTGCTTCTGTATTTGTTGGTGATGGGATAAGGTACACTGTCCTTTTCACAGAACATCTGATGCCACCATTGCATTGTTGTAAACTGGAGCACGTGCTTATAGTTATAGTCAATCCCCACATGGCCCATTTCTGGTGTGCCCCTCCGTGACTTTGCTCGAATATTGCTAATTAAAAGCGAATACTTAATCAAATCAATCAATCAATCAGCCAATCAATCAATCAATATATCAAAATATAGTCATAGTCGTGCAATGGACTATAACAGCTTTTATCATATGCAAGAATTATCTAAAAGGTCATCACCCAGGTACTGTAACTATCTTCCACGGGTAGAAATGCTCATTTATTTGAAATAAGCTTATGAGAATTGAATGATGTTTTATGAGTATGTCGAACGTTTTTGCCTCATCGGTTAATATTTGTTTCTCATATCATACGTTGCAGCATTGGGATCTGGCCAAGGGCGATCATTACCATGAACTTGATCTTGTGGCTCACAGTCGATCACCAGCCCAGTGTAAAGGGACCTCCAAAGCCAAACTACTAGGCACGGTGAAATACCAGGTTCCATTTTTCCCACATTTTCCCTACTCACTCTAAATGCGCCTTTGTGTAATGACACTCGTTATACTGGAGTCGACCAGGGAAGACCAGGATTAGAATTGATCTTCAGTTACCCATGCTTGTCAAGAGGCGACTAATGGGATCAGGTGGTAAGGCTCACTGACTTGGTTGACACGTACCACCGTATCCCAGTTTTGTAGATCGATGCTCATGCTGTTGATCACTGGATTGTCTGGTCAGACTCTTTTATTTACAGACTGCCGCCATACAGCTGAGTGGGGCGAAAAACAACAAACCAAACCAAACCATGCTTGAGTCATGGCGTGCCGGCGATTCAAAATACTTTCACGATCTCACATCCCGATGACTTCTAACGTTACTACGCTTATCAAACACGTCTTCACCCACCTTGTCTTCTCTTAAAGCAGATTGAGTGTATGTAACATGTTTGAGAGCCAGCCACATGTATTGTGCACTCTTTAATTTAGATGAATAAATATTACTGTTCCAATACGTTAATTGAAATTAAAAGTAAACTTTGAAGTGCGGTCCGCGATAACCAACAATATTAAAGCGCTCGTACAATGCGTTTCTCCACACTGTGCCTCAAAACAATTATTGCTGGAGCATTCCAGTTCCGTGTCGTCGCTCCGATCATTAACAATTCAATTCAATTTCTTTATTCTCATAAACCACCTTGGTGGTACAAGAGCATATATTGTAAACATATATACAAATACAAATCAAATTCAAGATGGCAGTTAACAGCATTTTTTTCTGACAAGAGATGATAGATGTAGGATATATTTTTTGATAAGATTTACTATGTCTCGGAGATGTTTTACAGATAATATTTTCGTGAACTTTTGTTTCATTGGGGAAAAGGAGTCAAGTGGGAGGGTAAATATTCTTTCCTCAAAGTATCTAATGCTTTGCAATGAAAAATATAGTGGTATTCATCTGCGATGCTTTTAGAAGTACATAGTTGACAATGACGTTCTCTCGTCCCTTTGGAATATTTTCCAGCAGCCTGTCTCAATAGGTAAACTATGGTTTACATGTTCTAAATCTCAATAATGGCAAAGAAATGCGTTTTAGAAGGAGGAGATATACATCAAAATTGGGAAATGGCTTTAGGTGCTGATAGTGTATACCCTTAGGACTAGAAATAATGTCATTGTGCCAGTTTTGATAAATTGATCTTTAAGAATATGTTCAACTTTTGAGACCAGCCACTGGGTAGTACAAATTGAGGGATTATCAAAACATACGAGAGTCCAGTATTGTCTAATATATTTTTTTAACGTGCGAGAGCCAGGGATTATGTTTTTATCTAATGAACAGTGGCTTCTTAGAGAGATATGAGAACACTGTGTAGTCTACTATCAGTGCATGCTTGAGTTGACAACCAAAACCGAAAGTAAAGCCATCCATTTCTGGCTTTTCTCATTTGGAATTTTCCTTTGCCAGTTTGGGTACTATTCCTCAAACGTACCCCAGTGGGTAAGGCTCACTGATCATTAACAGTGGCATTAACATGGCGAGAGATATATGAGCACACTGTGTAGTCTACTATCAGTGCATGCTTGGAGTTGACAACCAAAACCGAAAGTAAAGCCATCCATTTCTGGCTTCTCTCATTTGGAATTTTCCTTTGCCAGTTTGGGTACTATTCCTCAAACGTACCCCAGTGCTATCACTAATGTAATCAACCCGCGAAGATCCGGATTAGAATTGCTCTTCACTAATCCATGCTTGTCGTAAGAGGCGACTAACGGGATCGGGTGGTCAGGCTCACTGACTTGGTTGACATACGTCATCGTTTACAATTGCGTAGGTTAATGCTCATGAACGCTGTTGATCACTGGATTGTCTGGTCCGGACTCGATTATTTACAGACTGCCGTCATACAGCTGGAATATTGCTGACTGCGGTGTTAAACAACAAATCAAACCTTAACAAACAAGCGAACAATACAAACAACTAACGTGATCAAAGTCATGGTCAACAAAAGACAGTCATAGCGCTGAAATAAGGTCTAGTAACAGAAACTCAATGATACAATTCAAATCGGCTATTGAGCATACTGTTTCAAGTTACATGTAACTGCTCTGCGTTCTTGCGCCCTCTTTCTTTGTTGTATAAGGTTACATCGAACGTTATATTTCAGTGCAAGGAGAACACACAGTTTCAAATGTGTACCTGACAGCCATCCCAGGAACGCCTGAGCTTCGAGGTCGGTCCGTTCGTAAACCAGCTGGAGAAGACGGTGAAAACTCTCCCGGTGCAGTGAATGAGAGCATGGTGATCGACGAAGCGGGCACAACAACATAGAGGTGGCTGTGGACTACAGTACTGTGTTACCGTGTGTCCATACGGATATCTGGGAGCGAGACTCAGTGATGTTACTCTCAATCTATATATTTTCATTCGAACTCAAAGAATATTTACTGTGTTAACTGGCTCCCGTTACAGTATGGCCCCACAAATGCCACCATATTGTCCTATGATATGTCTAACAGTATGACCATAACATGATTATGCAGATGTGTTTGGTGCTAAAAACGTTTAGAAAATGTGGACCATTTTACATGTTTTTATATATACAATATTTTTATAACGGATATAGATTTAATGTACCCGTGATTTATGGTATTGGTAGAACGATTGTATACACATCTATGCAGTGCTTTGGGATGTGCATAGTGTGAAGGTATTAATCAATATTCCTTACTAATTCTTTTTTTTTTTATTTTTATTCAGCCTCGGTAATCACGGTTTTACATAAACCATACAAGTCCACGTGGTCAGGGACTACTGGTTTATAGCCTTAAACTTTTACCACAAACTTTACCTATATATAATACCAGAGCATATTACAAATGCATAATGAAAAGCTTCATAGAAACTTTGATATTGGTATAGTGAGACTGATAGCAGGTGTGTCCATATGATCCGTTATAACCACTGATAGTTGCATGTCTTTCTGATCCTTTGTAGACACTAATAGCCGTACAACTATGTATATATATCATCCTTTATAGCCAATGACAGTTGTTTTTGAAGACATTTGGAATGTACACATCCACGGTCGCTAATGATGTAACGTTTTGCTGTGTGAACGCAAACCCTAATGGTGCTTCTTCCAGTACAATCGCATGTCAGTGTTAATGGTGATGTCGAAATAAATGTGTATCGACGTTCCAAACAGTAATCTCTAAAGAATGACTGACTGACTGACTGAGTTTAGTTTTACGCCGCTTTTAGCAATATTCCAGCAATATCACGGCGGGGCACACCAGAAATGGGCTTAACACATTGTGCCCATGTGGGGAATCGAACCCGGGTCTTCGGCGTGACGAGCCAACGCTTTAACCACTAGACTACCCCACCGCTCTAAAGAATGAGGTCCAGACTATAGCTACCGGTATTTCACTTCAGTGATTGAGTGAGTTTGGTTTTACACCCCTTTTGGCCATATTCCAGCAATACCACGGCGGGGACACCAGAACTGGGCTTCACACTTGGTGCCCATGTGGGGAATAGAACCCGGGTATTCAGCGTGACGAGCGAACGCTTTAACCACTAGACTACCCCACCGCCCCGAGTTCACTTCAGACCACTTAAAGGTAAATGTTATAACCATTTATGGGAGGGCATTACGACATGTACTGTTCCAGCGTTTCCGAAAACTAGGTATGAGATGTGATGCAATGTTCACGTACAGGAAAGGAACAATGCTTGTTAACAACATTCCACATGACAGATAGTTGTTTACCTTTACTTGTAATACAGCGCCCGTGAAGGAGGTGGGGTGGCATATAGGGAGACATGCTTCATTCTTTTTATGTGTAAAACAGCTAAGTTTGGGCTAGTACAAGCAGCCGCACATACACATATTACTTCACACGCATGCACCGAACTATTCTCAAGCACGACGTTAAACCCAATTTCACGTCACCTCACCTCACTTGTAATACAGCGGCCGTGAAGAAGGTGGGGTGGCATAAGGGAGACTGTACGACTAATTAGCCCGCCAACAAACGCTACTAACTGACCGAGTATTGGTCATAGGTGTTGCATACGTTTTTCTGAAACTAACATTTTGAGTCTGTAAATACTCACTGCCATTACAATAATGTGTTTTTAAATGTCCACTCATATTGCAATAAAGATTTACATTATATCTTCTGTATTTTCAGGTTAGAACGTTTGTTATTTGACCTTTCATTCCAGCATTGGGTAACTGGGAGATATGTGTACATGCCCACCATGTGGTGATGTGAGGTCCTGTGCATAGAGCACAGGTCACACATCAGTTGAAGTTAAGCACCGTTGGTCGAGGACTGTCCTTGATGGTTGACCGTGTTTGGCAGCTTGACTCAACTTTGAGTTTCTAGTGCTGTCCCACAACGAAGCACACGTGGCACAAGTGGTCTCATCTTAGGCACGTGAGTTTGTTCATGAATTGCCTCTCTTCACCCAGCAGTGAATGGGTACCCGATGGTATAAGTCATATGACTGTTTACCTTCTAGCGCCTCACAGGCAGCTTGAGTTATTTGGTAATAATGCGTTATTTGAGCATGCACAAGAGCGGGGAAACAGGTCCATTATAAATAGCCATTATTATGTTTTACAGATTAAAGAGGAAAATGCAGCAGGGGGTTCGGGGGATCCTGGCACAGTCAGGCTGGTAAGGCTCTTCATCAGCTCAGGGCCCTCGCCCCCTCTACACGCAGCCCAGACAGCGAATGGGACTTCTCCCAGAAAACACTGCCTAGTCGAACCCACCAAGAACTTTCCGGAGAATATGAAGGCTCCCCAACACTGCAGCCTTCTGCATTACCCAGATTGTCAGAAGGGCCGTGCTCCCGGTGGAGAACCCGGGCACTCTCCTGATCTGCGCCAAGAGATCAGGAGGAACCAAACCAAGGGCACCGAGAACAATGGAGAGCCTGACGACAGTGTACTTGGGATGCAAGCGAGACATTTCAAATTCGAGGTACGCATATTTATCATGCTTTTCCTGAATCTTGCCAATCACATTGCTGTCAAAAGGAACAGAAAATTCAATGATATAAATAAATTCATTGGCTTTATCAACAAGCACAAGATCAGGTTTGTTGACTGGAATTCTTCTGAGGCTGTATATGGGCCTATTCCACAGAAGTTTGAAAGCATCATTTTCCATGACGCCCTGGACATGTTCAGGGTCGTACCATGGATGGACCTCGGAGTCAAAGCCACAGGCATGGCGGAGACGGTAGTAAAAGCAGCGAGCCATGCCATCATGTCTCTTAAGGTATGCTGTTTGTGCCAAGGAAGGGCATCCACTAACAAGGTGTTGGACAGTCTCTGTAAATTCATTACACAGTCGGCATTTCATATTGATATTTTCCTTAAGAATCACATTTTGGCGACTACGAGTGGGAAGTGACTGGTCCTGAGCAGCAAAAAGGAAGCCCTCAGTTTCACATTTGAGACTAGCCGACTTCATCCAGGCGAAGGAGTCGGTGGAACTGCTATTCTGTTCCACACCACTGCATGTACACACGGTGCAATGGCTTCTCAGAAAGCTTTTCCACAAAAGACCGACCCTGGGCAGATTTGGTGAAGGACTTCACTTGGTTTACTCCCATCGCTTTACCGTCCAATAGTACATCGCCATCAGCAAAGTCAACCTCAAATTTCCGATTCTGTCCAACAACCTTGGCACGCTTAAAATAGCTGTGGAATTCCTTGCTTTCATCATGAGTTTTGACATGCATCAGCAGAGGATCATCCGATAAATAAATATGTGCAAAAGTACACAATACAATTCTATCATGAAGAGCCTCCACATTAATCAAACCCCTTCCTCCAGAGTTGATTGGCATATATAAACGGTTGAGAGAGGAACGAGGGTGGTGGGCTCTGTTATCAGACATGATCCTTCTGGTCAGACGGTCAAGACTCTGGATGTCTTGTTTTGTCCAATCAACTACTCCAAAGGAATAGGAGAGGACTGGCACAGCAAATGTATTGGTGGCCTTGACCTTGTTTCGAGCATTTAGCTCTGAGCTCCAGATTTTCTTTAATCGAGATTTGTACTCGGCCAGAAGTTCTTTTTTAATTTGGGCATTCTGGAGGTTGTCTCGAACTTGCATTCCAAGATAGGTGTAGGCCTGATCTTCCACAAGATGCTCAATAACTCCTCCCCGCTGTAACTTGACCGATCCATCATTAGTTACCTTGCCACGTTTCAAATGAAGAGTATTACATTTGTCGAGTCCAAATGTCATGCCAATATCATTAGAAATGCCAATATCATTAGAAATTATTATTATTATTTTACTTATTTGTTATTATTATTATTATCTGAGAGACAGATATATGAACATGTCCATGTCACAGAGACGTTCAGTGTTATTCGTCTGAGAGTTATCTGCGTGGTGTATCTTACATGTGACATCATTACATGTGTAAGTATAATTCGGCTTATATTACTGCGTGATAAGTAAAACTGTATTTCGTATGCCTTCTCCCGAGAAGTTGGTAAAGAAGTAATATGGATATGGAACTTGGGCATATTTGCCAAATAATTCAAGGAACTATCATATCACCGCACTACATGAGGTAAAGAAAATGTAATCTTAAACGAGAAGAGTTTCTCAAGTGAAAAGTATTGTCACTGAAAAGCATCATGTCAAAGAGTTAATAAAATCACCGAACAAAGGTAAAATCACAGTTCAGCTGAGATAAACCGACAGGAGTTACTTCCCTTCTTCCGTCCTGCATAGTTGGGAGTCCTTGACGACTCCGTTCAAGCATTATTGATGAACGGGTGGTAGTAGATCTGAAACTTGGTCACTAATGTATCTTTTTGCCAGTCTTTGATTTGGACGGTATCGGGTCAGTAAGTAGGCATATTATGGTTCTACGCTACTTACGACGGGGAACCTCGGAAATGGGCGCCACACGCTTTGTATCCTTGTCAGGAATCGAACCCGGTTCATCGGCATGAGCGGAGTCACTGAACCAATTCTAATGTGAATAACTTTCCCAGTCACAGCTATATGTGATGGTTTTCTGTCCCACTCGTGTCGTCTAGAATACTGGTGATACCAGGTGATCTGGATGTGAGCATGTTCTGTCCCACCCGTGTGGTCTAGAATACTGGTGATACCAGGTGATCTAGATGTGAGCATGTTCTGTCCCACCCGTGTGGTCTAGAATACTGGTGATACCAGGTGATCTGGATGTGAGCATGCTCTGTCCCACCCGTGTCGTCTAGAATACTGGTGATACCAGGTGATCTAGATGTGAGCATGTTCTGTCCCACCCGTGTCGTCTAGAATACTGGTGATACCAGGTGATCTAGATGTGAGCATGTTCTGTCCCACCCGTGTCGTCTAGAATACTGGTGATACCAGGTGATCTAGATGTGAGAATGCACTGTCCCACCCGTGTCGTCTAGAATACTGGTGATACCAGGTGATCTAGATGTGAGGTGATGTTCTGAGCATGTTCTCCCACCCGTGTCGTCTAGAATACTGGTGATACCAGGTGATCTAGATGTGAGAATGCACTGTCCCACCCGTGTGGTCTAGAATACTGGTGATACCAGGTGATCTAGATGTGAGCATGCTCTGTCCCACCCGTGTCGTCTAGAATACTGGTGATACCAGGTGATCTAGATGTGAGCATGCTTCTGTCCCACCCGTGTCGTCTAGAATACTGGTGATACCAGGTGATCTAGATGTGAGCATGTTCTGTCCCACCCGTGTCGTC